AAAAGTGTTCTTAGGTGGATTCTACAAGGGTTTTCATGTGTCCGCGTTCCGTGTTTGCGTGTTGCCACATTCCCAGTCCCCCACACCCACCCACCCCCTCGGTCATGTACACGTCAGATCTACAGAAAAGGGGCTTGAGGAGATTGGTGTGCAGAATCACCCTCGACTGTGCAAAAAAACATGTGGCTTTTCGATTTTCGTCTGCCATGGTACTTCCCCCACCCTGAGCCGTAAACCCTAAACACCCTAACTAAACCCTGAAGGTTTCGAAAGCAAGGACCCGTGATCTCACCTTAACGCCGAACGCCTAACCAAAACCCCAAACTCGAGATCTAAGCCCCAAAGGCCTGAACTACAAACCCCAAACTCCAAACCTCAGATGCGTGTAGGGCTTAATGTAGGGGCATCAATAATGAAAATAGGGTTTTGGGGGTAGAATGTACTATAATTATAATAAGGAACTCCCGAAAATAATTTGGGTAATTATTAAGGCCCCCCTATATTACCAGGACCCTAGAGTACCTACCTTTTTAAAGACTTGTATAAGGAAATCACGATAAGGAACAGGTCTCTTAGGGTCCAGGTAGGGCTTGAAAAGTCCGGGCTAAGGCTTTCGGGTCGGAAGAGATTGCTATATTGCTATCCCCCTTACACTCCCAACTCGAAATGCTCTGAACCCTGTATTCTGATGGCGGGATGGCTGTCTGGACGAAGGGTGGGAAGCTTTCAAGAACAGCCTGATCCATCATGCTCCCTGAATTTTATTTCAAACCCTAACGCGGTTTAAGCTTTAGCATTGCCTGAAACAAAACAAGGATAGGCACCTGGCTCCCAGCTACAACGTACCACCAAAAGAACATCCAGTTAAGGACCAAGATTCCTGGCTCCTCCAGGGATTACTTCAGAGGACCAGCGGACAGAATAGCACATCGATTCGAAAAGGTAAGGGTTTAGGGTTTCGGGCTTAGGGTTTAGGGTTTGGCAAGGGCTTTTGTGGGAATCTGAGTTGGGGATACCCTACATGACACAGGGACACAGACGTAAGTCGGTTCTGGTAGAGGTTTTTAGGGAGCCCAAGTTGAGGATATTTTGCTTACTTGGAGGTTCATGGGACTATTAGGGTTCAGGGTTTAGGGTTTAGGGTTTAGGGTTTGATAAGTACAGTTATAAGTACCTTAATTGGGGCTATAAGTAATTATAAGTACAGTTACTAAGTCCCATGAACCTTTAAGTATGGCCGAGAACGGCACTTCCAACCGACTTCCCGTGATCCTCCAAGTGGAGTCCAGGCTACGTCCGCGTAGTTTGGAGGCTGGTTAATCGAACGGAAATGGCGAGGCTTTAGTGTTTTCCTATAGTCTCGAGTTGCATGTTAAGAATCCTGCAAGGCAACCCCAAAAGGATTCGATGAGCCTAGTGATTCGGCGGATTTAGGGATAGGTTAAGAGGTTCTAGCGCCAAGGCTTCAAGGATTAGGCTTCAGGGTTGAGGGCCTGGGGCCGTTGAATTTTTGGGTTTAGGCAGGGTGACGCCCATGGACACATGCTTGGCTTGTTTTCGCAAGCGTCTACGACTCAGACTTTAATCACTTCCACGCTGTATTTAGTATCCGGGGCTTTCAGAGGTTGTCTCGACTGACCTTGGCGTGAACTACTTATGAAGAGGAAAAATATTGTAGCACGGGTCCCAAAAAGACCTGTGCATGCGTAGCCTGAACCTTCAACGCTACTTGCACAACGCAAGAAAACTCGCTGCAGGAGTGTGGCTTTGCTGTTCTGTGTCTTGCTGTTGCAGGGTTGGAGAGTCTAAGGTCCGTAACCTGTTGTACTGTCCCCCAAACCCCATATAAAACTCATGGTGCCCATAACCGAGTAAACCACTGATAGGTAAGTGTGCTCTCAGGGAATGTCATGCATGCGTGACCGTACATGAAATGTTGTTGCCACTGTGCCTGGGTTACAAACAGATGTAGCACCTCACAAAAACCGCTTATCCTGGAGTGTAAAACCATCAAAAACCTTTATAGAACCCGCCATAGAACCCTTACCAAACCAACCTTCGCAGCCCTAGTTATCCTTAGTTGCCTCAAATACATCTCAAGGTCATAGAAGCCCTAAGCGCCCAAAACCCCAACAATGCCAAGCCCTTTGCCCCGAAGCCGACCCCTAAACCCTGAAGCCAAAGCCTACACCGCAGTCCTTCTGAGTTGCGTAGAAGCCCGGCAGAAGCAGCAGCTTGCTGGACCCAGGGCATGTTGATCCGAAGGGACACTTCTCCTTGCAGGACGAGGGTTTTTTGGGTTCTTGAAGTGTCTATACCTCGAAAAAAGCCTGTACATGGGATCTCTACCAGGGTTGACAGGTTTTAGGAATGGGGATGCTTTTATGCGGTCTCGTTGCTCGTAGGGTTTGGGATGTTTGGGATGATGATGAGGGTGTAGGGGGCTTACTGAATAAGGTCGCCATGGTGTCTGCGATTCTGCTGGGTCTTACAGGGATTGAGGAGGGTTCACGGTTTTTAGGGCGCATCTGGGTTCATACGGGCTCTTTTATGGTGTCTTAGAGGAGCTTTTGGGCTTCAGGGCTTAAAGTCGACCCTAGGCCCTAAATATCGACACTTAGGCGTCTGTTTCTTCAGTGTTTCTACATGGGTTCTACAAAGACTTCAGAAGTCAGGATTTTGGCCTTGGGGCTACATATGAACCCCTAGACTCCCTAGACACTGCAACCCAAATCCAAGGTGCAGGATTCAAGGTTGTACCTATAGTCTCCATTGTAGTTCCTTTTTGGGGATACCTTATAGAATCCTTAATATATAATTGGTTAAACCATAAAAAGGAACTGCAATGGAGACTATAGGTACATCGGGCTTCGGACAGGAACCGGCCACTCCTAAGCCACAGCTTCGAAGCCGTGGGCCTGTTACACATCTTCGAAACAAAAACAAAACCCTAAGGGTCCATGTACCCAAATAGTAGAACATTGGCCCTAAAGTACCCTTATAGGGACTACATTAAGGCCAATGTTCTACTATTTGGGTACATGGACCCTTAGGGAAATAAAAGTGACTCTGAAGAGACAGGTGTCGCATGGGCCCTCGGCAGTCAAGTACCTGTGGTGGAGCTTCCACGGTTTAGGGTTTAGGGTTTAGGGTTTAGGCTTCGTGTTACTGCGAGTTTCGGATGCAGGGCGTGGCTCTTAGGTGCGCGAGAACTGCACGAACGTCAGTTTAAAGGAAACCACAGGTGGGGGGTTTAGGGTAAAAAGGGCTTCTAAAAGGCTTCTATAAGGTACATAGACCTTCTAACGGTAACTGCCCACCTGAAAATGTCCTAGATCAATGTACCATGCAAAAAAACAACTTCCTCTGCAGCGAAAAACCCTACACCCTGAAACCCTAAACCCGAAACCCTGAACCCGAAACCCTGAACCTAAACCCTAGACCCTAAGCCCTAAACCCCTAAACCAAAACCCTAAGCCCTAAACCCTGAAATGCCTCCAAACCCAGGCTTTCAGTCTAACTCGAGGAATTGAGTGCGATGGTTGCACAAACTGAAGTCTCTGCGATTCCCTATGTTCCAGGTGCCTCTACAGTGAAAATCTCCTCGTTGAAGAACACCCTAAGCCCTAAATCCCTGAAGCCCCTTCATGCACCCTAATCCCTGAACCCTGACCCCTCCTAACCCTTAAACCCCTAAAGCCCCAAACTGAAGCCCAGAAAACGACCTAAACCTTGCACCCCTCTTTGCACCCGTAAATAGAGCCGTTCGAGGAACCGTTTAAGAAACCCTTTCACATCAGAAGCCCGAAATCCTTAACCTTAAACCCTAAAGCCCTTTACTAAAGCCTAAACCCTAAAACCCTAAAACCCTAAAGCCCTAACACCCTAAAATGACCGGCCAGGTGCCAGTCTTCCAGACATCCGCAGGAGCTCTCAGAAATCGCACCGTCGACTTCGATCCACTTTTCGATGCCTTCACCTTTAAAGGGCTCCTTTAAGGGTTTAGGGTTTAGGGTCTCAGGGTTGTAGGGTTTTGGGTTTAGGGTTTGAGGGTTTTGGGGTTTAGGGTTTTAGGATTTAGGGTCTAGGGTTTAGGGTTTAGGGTTTGGTTGGGGCTCCTTATATAGATCATGGGGTTCTAGGGCCAGGGCTTCTTAATCAGGTTCCTTGTCGAGGCCTTCACCTTTAGGGCTTAGGGCTTGTTGCACTAGGGCTTAGGGTTGAGTTTAGGATTGAGGGTTTAGGGCGTTTGGAGTTTTTGAAACTGTAAGTATACAAGTAGGTTCTAGTAGGGTTTGGGGGGAACCTTAGTTGGGGATACTCTGCATACCTAGACCCTATGATTTTCTTATATAAGTCCAGAAAGATAGGCTCTTTGAGGTACAGGCCAGGCTTCTTGGATTTAGGAGTTAGTTTAGTTTAGGACTGCTGAAGGTTCAGGGTGTAGGGTTTAGCATTGAGTTCAGGGTTTAGGGCTTAGGATCGAGGGTGTATAGGGTGTAGCAGGTGTAGAGTTGGCGTTAACTTAAGATTGAGAGTATGGTTTGGGTGTATGCTATGGTTAGGTCTTTAATCGTCCCCAAATTCTATGGGGGTGGGAGGGTCTTGATCCCCAAACCCTAGACCCTAAACCCTAGCCTTAAACCCGCCAGACAAGACACTCATGACGCGCCGACTGGTGGTGCGATGCTCGCCACCACACGGCTGGCATTCCTCGGATTTTGGCCAGAACGGGTTCAGAGTCTGGGGGTTCAGGGGTTCAGGGATTAGGGGTCTAAGGGTTTAGGATTAGAGGTTTAGGGATAAGCGGTTTAGAAGTTTAGGGTCCAGGGATCAGGCTTTAGGGTGCAGGGGTTCGGACTTGGGGTTTCAGGCGTCAGGGTGTGTATAGGGTTTGGAAGTCAGGGCTTAGAGTTCAGGCCGTCACGGTTTTCTTCATCCGAGTGAGGTGAGCGTTCTGATCGGCAGCTACCAAAGACCAGACGGTTTAGCAGTAACAGCTAGTCCAAAGTACAACGAGATTCAGAGGTTCCAGTGGTGTTGGCGTAGCGACCGAGCTCGCAACGCTCACATTGAGCATTGCCAGCATCTCCCGTGAATGTACCCACATCACAGGCAGCGCAGCCCGTCTCACCAAAGGAATTCTGGTGCGTGCCAGCCGGGCCTCAGTGATCTTGCAACGCCAACATTGGCCACTAAACCTTAGACCTGAAAACTACAACCTCTGGGATCTATGCTGAGATCTTGTGGTCAGCATTCGATGACCGTTATAGGGCATTAAAAGAAACAACCAAGAGCCGGGCAAACGGTACACCGATGAGTTTGTCCAAGATCGTCGGACCTTTGCGTTTAGGGTTTCCGGCTTGAGGGTTTCGGGTATAACGTAGTTTAGGGTTTAAGCGAAGGCATCTGTCAGAGTTAATGTTAGAACCCTCAACCCCAAACCATACTGGATCCCCCGAAGAACGCTTGGCTAGAGACCTTACGGGCCTGAATACCGGGTATTTAAGGTAATAATCGGGTAGCTGGGGGTTTAGGGCTTTGCGGTCTTTTTTTAAGCTAATGCTAGGGTAGCTGGGGGTTTAGGATTCCGGCTTTCACGGCTACGAAAGCTAATAATAGGGTCGTGGGGGGGTTTCGGTACTGGACCAGAAATAGAAGGCTGAAGCCCGCCTAAACCCTAAACCCTAACCTTAAACGGCTGAAGACACCCTAAACCCTAAACCCTAAACCCTTTTAAAAGGCTGAAGCCCATGAGATTCCAAGGTACCAAGGCTCGGAGAAGGTGCCGGCTAGGCACACCGAGCAGGCCACAGCGTCCCGACGATCAGGGACATGCTGCCCAGCATCGTCTACGAGGCCATATCCTGCTAGGCACCTGCTTTTCAGGCAGACCCTTGGGGCTATGGGTTTAGGGTTTAGGGTTTAGGCTTTTCAGGAGTTTTTAGCTCATAGGGTTTATGCTCGCAGGCAGACCTTTCTGTCGTGGAGCCACAGCTTAGGGCTCAACGGCTTAATCCTGCGAAGCACCCGGGTTTCCTTGCCGGGGTTTCGCCTCGAAGGCTTGGAATGTCGGGCTTCCCGAGTTACTTGGAGGTTCATGGGACTTAAGAATTATAGCTATAAGTAGCGTCATTGCGGCTATAAGTAATATTATAAGTATAACTACCTTGTTTATCACCCTAGTTACTAAGTCTCATGATCCTTTAAGCTGATATCTTAAGTAGGCAGGATAAACAAAAACCCTGCACCCTAAGCCATACTATAGCCCTAAACCTAAACCACTTGAGTTGAAGTCCCGGCAGAGCCAAGACGAAACGAAGGCTAAGCCAAAACATTGCGCTGTGTGTTGTCTTACGTAAGCCTAGAAACTTGGTTAGGTGGAGTATTCTGGCTTTCCGAATGAGATGGCTCTGGCTTCTAAACCAAACTGGCATTGTCCCCATATCCAGGCGGAACAACTTAATATAACACCTCTTCACGGCTTGCAGCTGTAGCACTGGGTCTGCACCGGCACCCACTTCTCCCATCGGTCTCTGTTGGCGCGAATCCACTCACAGGCCACTTCTTCAGTGGTCGCGCCGGCGCTGGTTGACGTCTGACGGTGCTGAGGCTTTTGGGAAAAACCTAAACCCTATACCCCATAAACCCCATAACCCCCATAAACCCTAAACCCTTATAAACCCTAAACCCCATAAACCCCATAACCCCCATAAGCCCTAAACCCTAAACCCCGAGTTTTCGCCTGTTGGCTGGGGTCTGAGGGCTGAGGTTCAGTCACTTGAGTGTCTTCTTGACGGTTGAGGGCCCTAAACCCTAAACCCTAAATGTCTCTAGACCCATCGATTCTGTGGCCGAGGAAAGTGAGCGGCACTCTACATCTCTGGTAGGGTCTCTGGACCTCAAAGCCTGGTTTAGGGTTTAGGGTTTGAGTCCGTTGCACCTTGGGGTTGGAATTTAGATGTAGAGTTGTGTTTCAGACCTCTGGGTTGCTTGGAGGTTCATGGGACTTGATAAGTACAGTTTATAAGGACCTTCCTTGGGGTTATAAGTACTTATAGGTATAGTTATCTGGTTTATAACCCTAGTTCCTAAGTCCCGTGGAGGTTCAAGTGTGTAAGGTCTGGATTGGAGCCAGGGGCGAGGTGGGGTTTAGTTACGCTTTACAAGCCAGTCGGCTTACACTCACCCCTACACCCTAGCATCCAGACTTTTAAACCTTGAGCCCCAGACCCTGAACCCTACAACCCAAAACTCGTGTAAGAATTTTGGGACATGCTGAAGAAATCCTCATGAAACCCTAACACCTGAAAGAAACACTGAAGCAAAAGCCTGGCATACAGCTGGCTTTAAGGTTTGGCATGATCATCTCCCTACACCGCGGGAACGCCCCCCAAAGTGGCCCAAAAGTCTCAGGCCACCTTTCTCAGAAGGCTCTGCATGTCCTGTGCGGCTTTTTAGGGTTTAGGGTTTAGGTTTGCAAGCCTCGGCTTGAATCTTTGGTTTTCGAAAGCTTGAATCTTTGGTTTTCGAAACTAGGACTCTATGGCCTCGGGCTGTGGTGTTCAGGGTTTCGGTTTCGTTGTGTTGGCCTTCTTATCTACACGATCTCTCGGTGGCTGTTCGCCCACTGTTGGTGCAGGAAAACTTGCATGATCCATGGGACAGACAGAAGGAGTGCACCACCCTGAATCCTGGGCTTTTAACCCCTGTTTCAGTAGACAGTCTTGCAGCTCAAACGGGCCACGAATTGGCGGCTTTCAGGCACGGTCTTGAACTACCTGTAGTCTCCATTGTAGTTCTATTTTGGTTTACCCATACAGCGTCCTGCATACAAAGTTTGCTAGATCCCAAAAAAGAACTACAATCGAGACTATGGGTCTACTCTGCAGCGGTTACTACATACTGTTGATGGACAAACTTCTGCATGTCCCAAATATAGTATAGCACCATAAATTCCATAGTTTAGGTACATAAGGTCATGCAGGATTTTCTCCATCAGCCGTACGTCAACATTCGGCTGCTCTGAGATCCTTGGTGTAGAGGGTTTTCCCAACTTGCAGCACTCTTGCCCGTGTGCCCAAAAAGTAGGAGATTCATGGGACTCAACAAGTAAAGTTATAAGTACCGTAATTGGGGTTTTAAGTAATCATATGTATAGTTAGCTTATTTATAACCTTAGTTACTAAAGTCCATGAGCCTTTAAGTAGTATATACTCCCATCCCATTCTAGAAGCTTGTGGTATATCGTTATAATTTCAGGGGACCCTATTGTAGAACCTATAGGTAACGGGCTTAGGGGTTTAGGGTTTAGGATAAGGAAAGAAAGCTCAGAGCCCCCCCTTTTGGAAAGCCTACCCCCACCCCCCTTGCCCCTGCCCCAAAACCGTGAAGCCTCAAAACCCCTAAACCCAACCCCCAAACCCTAAACCCCAAACCCTAAACCCCAAACCCCCAAACCCATGAACCCCCCTACCCCAAACCCCCAAACCCATGCCCCAAAACCGTGAACAGAATGCTCAAGGGATGTCCTCGAGGTCCAGGTCAAAGTTCTGAAGAAATCTCTGCACCCTTGGGGCGGCCAGCTGCAGCGGCTGTGCGATGAGCTTGACAATATTGCCTGGCTTTGCTTCGAAGGATCAAGGATTAAGGATTTCATTAGGGGGTTAGGGCTTATAGGGTCCAACTAAGGGTTTACGTCGACGGGAATATTGCATGTTTTGCATGATCCCAGTGCACCCTAATGCAAGATCAAAAGAGCGAAGGGGAGAGAAAGGCAGAGCAAGATGGCGAGCGAGCGACAAACATAATTGGATCAGAGAGAGAGCGAGAGACAGAGAAGCGCGGCACATACATGCGGCAGCGAATGCAAAGATGACAGACATGACGACTAAGGACATACGTCTTGGACAAAGGAGCTCTGCCCATCAGCCGTGCGATAGTTACCCACAGCCCACTCGCGGGCTCTGTGTCGTGGGAACTGCAGCATGGAGGCGTCCAGCTGGTGGAAGGTTGCATCGGGCATCCTGGGTTCTTGACATAAGAAAAGCATGATCTGCCTGCCTCTGCAACAGAGCTGTCATGAACATGGAGGGCCCACCAGAAATCGACCAAAGCGTACCCAGTGAGGAACCAAGCATCCACCAATGAAAGAGTGTTCGGAAGGCTACCACGTTTGCAGCGTAATCCTCCCAGGTTGCCGCAGTTCCAACCGCTGCAGGTATGCCGTAGAAGGTGGCCCATTGCATGAAAACCTTTGCGACAACTCCCAAAAAGGTCCTATAAGTACCTATATAGTACTAGAGTCATCACTATGAGTTGGGCAAGTATCCGCCGTAACAGTACCTAGGACCGTTTGGGACTGTGGAGGGTTGGCTCTCCACTAGAGGCTTGTACCCACTCTCACGGCGATGCACGCCGCGAAAGGCGGCAGTCGTGCGCGAAGGTTCTGTGCACTTAATGAAGTGTGTTGGCAGTTGTGGGCTGCGCTGGTTGAGGGAACCCCTTCAGGTCAGTCTAGTTAGTAATGAGTAGGGACCCCAACAAGGGACCAAGATGAAGACCAACCCCCTTGCATTCGGCACCGTATGGTCAAGACCTGGTGACGTACACAATCCAGCCATTTCCAGCTGCCAAAATGGGGATGCACTCAGATGTGTTATGGCGGCATGCAGGGGAAATCCAAAAGAGGCCGTCCGGGCAATTCGCGATGTACCCAGTTTCCTTCGCTCTCAAAAAAAGCAAGGCGACACACGTCAAAACCCCTGGTCTTCAACTGTTCCTACAGGAAGCACGTCGGACTAAAGGAGTTTAAACAATATATACGAGGTTAGCCTTAAGCCCAAAACCCTACCTCGACCCTAAAGAGCCTAGCTTTTTACGGACTAAAAAAGGAAATCATAACAAGGAGCCCTACAGTAAAAGGTAGGTTCTTGAGGGTCTAGGTACTCCCTAAACCTCTAACCCCTATAGGGGTGGTTGTCAAAATTATGGTCCCTTTTTGGGTCCTTATTATAATACGGCACCTACTATCTAGGGTACCCCAAAAAGGGACCCTAATTTCGACAACTACCCATAGGGGGGTTAGGGTATGGTGCTCAAGAGCCCAGCTTCTGTCTCGACGACACCTTCCCAATCATCCGTCCACTGTCTATAGAGCCTTAGTTGCTGAGCTCATAAGCCCTAAAAAGATCAACAAAGTCTGCATGTTGAGGTCTTATAGTGTTGAGGTCTTATAGGGGATAATATTTTAGAACTATCATAGCTTTAAAAGTGTACACTGAAAAATCAACAATGTCTAAACTTTCAGTTCTTATAGCATATCTTTCCCATAAATAAAGTGTAAAGCTTACCCCTTCAGCTGCAAAGGAGCCTCATCTCAACATCATTGGCAAACTCGTTGCCCGTCGTGTTGCACGGGGAGAAGTGGCTGTGGTTCAAATCAGAAATACGGTCAAAGTAGGCCGCAGCGTCATGCGCAGATGCATTGTAGCCTCGCTTCGCCCCAACACTCAGACACAACAGAAGGTTACGGTGACGATTGCCGCTTTATAAGACCCCCCCTTTACAAATGCACCCTAAGCCCTAAAACCCTAAACCCTAAACCCTAAGTCCTAATTACGCCGTACCAAGAATCTCCGATAGAACTCAAGGGCCAGGCCGGACCTAGCATATGCAGCGTCACGGATGGATCCTTTGACCGATAGCGAGTTCTCACCGGAATACCCGATTGATCCCAGGTCGATAGGGGCGACATCTGGGTTCGCCAAAACAAACTGGTCAAAATTGAATGAGATCCTTGGCGGTTCTTGGAGGCGAGCGGAACTTTCTTAAGACTGTACTATATGAAAACTCCCCTGAGATTCCAAGTAGTGAAACGATATGGTTTTAGGTGCAAAAAGACCGTTCAGAGTATGGATTTCGGCTCAGGGTCTCTGTCATCCAGCAGTCCATGGCCACGTGGCTCTGCGCCTGTGGGCTCAGAAGAGTCAAGGTTTTCTCTCTTCATCGGATCTTCACTGCCATCAATGGAGATCTCTGCTAGCAGAACCCCCTTTTCGGAATGTAGCAAACTCTTCTCTTTAGCCTTTCGAACTTTATCTGAGCCGCAAAACCCCTGAACCCTAAACCCTAACCCCTAAACCCCTAACCCCACTTCAAAAAGGGAACTCGATTGGAGGGGGCTTCTGGGCTTCTTGGCATGGGTTGGCGATTGCAAAGGAATCTAGCGGGCTTCAAAAGCCCTGGACCCTAACCTACTGTCGAGCCTGAAGCCCTACACCCCGATGACCTAACCGTAACCATTAGGGGTTTAGGGCTTAGGGTCTCTATCCCCCTTCTTCAGGAATGTGAAGACAACAGGAAACGTCCAGAAAAGCACCCAGAGCCCACAACAAGCAAAGCAAAGCTCAAAGCCAACTGCAGCTTAGAAAAGCAACACAAGCCGAGTGCTGTGAGCTTTGAGCCCGAGCATAGGGATACAGGGTTGAAGGTGGGTTTTGGACCGTCTGGGTCGCCCTTGTCTCTCACGCCGTATCATGCTTCCCTCTTTCTCTCCCTCTCTCTTTCTCTCTCCCTCCCTCTGTCTGAACCCCTTAAACCCTATACCCAGACCCCCGGAAGGATCTAGAAAGTAGAACCCCTAATTTGGGACCCTATACTACTAAGGGCCCTTTATAGGAACCCCCATAGAGGGATCTACTTTTTGGATCCTCCGGGTAGAACCTACCCTTTTCTTCTACACCCCCACCCCCCTGCTGTAACCCCAAATCTCTTAGGGTTTAGGGTATAGGGTTTAGGGTTTAGCGCGACTACAAACTTCAGAGCCCTAAACCGTAATCTCTTAGCATGGCCACAAACGCTAAGCCTTGAACCCTTAACCCTGAACCGGGTTTGGGGTTTAGGCTTCAAGCTCCAATGATCTGGAGCGAAAAGTAAAGCCCCGGACCCAAAAAAACAAAGCAAGGGTTTGGGGGTTGGGGTTTAGGGTTCCTAAAGGACCTAAATGGAATCCCTATGAGCCCATGTCAACACGCAGCAGTCAGGGCTACCTGGTGGGCAAAAAACACGTAAAACCAACACAACATTTAAACAACACAAGCTAAGACCACAAAAGCAAGCTGCAAAGCCCGATCTGTTTTGAGGGTTTGAGGGCTGTGTAAACGAATAGGCATCTCCCCAAGTCTCACCTTCACTACACTACAATCCTGCAACCGACTAACTGCTGGATTCTTGGGTCCGTTGGACCGGCAGGGCTCGATCTCTGCAGGCGGAGTTTAGGGATTAATCGCTTCCCACTATTATTAAA